CTGCTACTCATTTTTCCTCCATTATTATGGATACTATTATTGTGAATGCACCAGCTCAGTCCTCTATAAATTGGAACAGAGAATGACTTCCCATTGATATCCCTGGGAACATTTCTACAATTTTCTTTTGCTGATAAAGGAGAATGTGCTCGTCTGCCCTCATTATGGGGAAAAAGTCGCTGTCAGCTCTCTGTGCAGGAGCTGTGTCTTTATCCGCAGTGCTTGGTACGTGTGCCCAAATATTCTTATGATTTGAAAAGTGTTTGTGTAGGTTTTACCAAGCAAACTTTTTTAATATGTATTTTTTTAGTTATAGGTGGACACAATATCTTATATTTATGTGGTGCTGAGGATCGAACCCAGTGCCTCACACGTGCTAGGAGAGCGCCCTACCTCTCAGCTACGGCCCCAGCCCTACTGAGCAAATGATGTATGGTACGTGCCTGACCTTATTCAATTCTCCAAACTATTTCTTTTTTTTTTCTTTTGTTGGGTACCGTGGATTGAACCCAGGGGCCTTCAACCACTGAGCCCGCATCCCCAGCCCTATTTTGTATTTTATTTAGAGTCAGGGTCTCCCTGAGTTGCTGAGGGCCTTGCTAAGTTGCTGAGGCTGGCCTCCAACTCATGATCCTCCTGCCTCAGCCTCCCAAGCCTCTGGGATGACAGCCATGCACCACCGTACCTGGCTCTCCAAGCTTTCCTATAGAATCCTCAAAAGAAATTCCAGGTGAGAACAACTATAAGAAATACGATACTCTAAGTGGCATGAGCAGGGTCTCAAACCCAGACCTCAGTAGCCCCAGCCCAAATTCACGTGCCTGAACATGAGCCACATGAATCTCCCTCATTCTAATGGCTAGGAATGTCCCTTTGTTGGGTGCTTGGATGCCAAGACTAATCTGAACACCCCCATTGTACAGATGAAGGAAGAAGGTTTAGAAAGGCTTTAAAAAAATTCTTTTTTATTTACAGCAAACAAGCAGCTCATTTGGAGTTCATACCCAGAACTTTTTCATGTCGAGTCTCCCATCTGTCATGGTGATATGGTCCATGTACCTTATGTAGATATCCAGGAAACAAGGCTGAGATGTTTTTGAGGTCTTAATGGTGACTGATTTAACTCCCCAGACATTCCTCAGGATTTCTGTCTGTAAATTCATTTGATCTGTAAATCCATAGCAATTAGAGTAGCTTTCAGGAAGCTTTTTATAAAAGGCAGTTGGATGGGGCACAGTGGCACATGCCTGTCATCCCAGTGGCTCAGGAGGCTGAGGCAGGAGGATGTCAAGTTGGAGGCCAGCCTCAACCATTTAGCGAGGCCCTAAGCAACTCAGGGAGACCCTGTCTCTAAATAAAATATAAAAAGGGCTGGGGATGGGGCTCAGTAGGTCATGGCCTCTGGGTTCAATCCCTGGTTTAAAAAAGAGAGAGAGAAACAGTTGGGAGATTCAGATACTTAATAAACAGATGCCCAGTGAAAAAGTTCATCCATAACAATTTCTTCAGCGTGTTGCAACAGTTATTTCGGCTTTGTGGTTGATGTCTGTTGAAGCCAGTGTTTGAAAGCAACATGCTCCCTCCCAGGGCAGGATTTCTTCGAGAAATTGACTTATATTTGGGGAATCTGGGGACAACCAGATGATCTTTTAACAGCACCACCGAGCCGCCCCGAAAGCTCCTCAGCTGGGTTTCAGAGGAGAATTGGAGATGAGTCACCCGGACAGGGGCCTGTCTTACTCACAGCCTGGAGAATGGCTGTATTTATAACATCCAAGCAGCGGTGGCAGCCTGCCACTTGTCATTGTGTAGCGCGGGAGCCGAGGGGGAGAAAAAAAAGATGTCATCATTTTAAATGACTTTTAAAAACCCAAAGAATAACACCGTTGGTGCCTGAAAACAGAAGACGAAGACGGATGGAAGTGGGGTTCGGCTTCCCCCCCCAGATCTGATTGATCCTGGCCAAGAGCCTTCATTTGCATTTTATTAAGTCGGAGTCGATGGTGGTGGCCCACAAAGACTAGGATCCTTACCGTCTGGCCCCCGTTTTCTGACCTTTGTGCTAGAGGAAGTGGTCAAGTGTGCAGAGAACTGGGTCAAAGGGTGGCAGCCGGTTCCCAGGCGAGGGCACTTGGAGGAGGGACTTCAGGTTACGGTTGCTTTTTTATCACAGAGAAACAAAGATAAGAGGTTTCTATGGTTCTCATAAAACATAAGACTGTCACAGCGGGGATACTGTATGTCACTACAGTGACCTCAGGCAACCTTCGCTCAGTATTTCTGCAAATGGTATACCAGAAGGGACTCTCTTTATGGGATGGGGGCATAACAGGGGATTGAACTCAGGGGCACTTGACCACTGAGCCACAATAGAGTTGGAAATAGAGCCCTTGAAGCTGTATTTTTAGTTTGGAGCTGTAGTGTTGACTGGTTTGAGTTGGGCTTGCTGTTCTTTACAATGAGGAGTCTTGCTATCCAGGCCTAGGGGTGCATTCCTGTCATCCCAGCGGCTTGGGAGGCTGAGGCAGGAGGATCGCGAGTTCAAACGCAGCCTCAGCAACAGCGAGGCCCTAAGCAACTCAGGGAGACCCTGTCTGTAAATAAAATGCAAAATAGGGCTGGGGATTGGGCTCAGGGGTTAAGAATTCCTGGGTTCAATCCCTGGTACCAAAAAAAAAAACCTGACATTTCTCATGAGAGTCCTAATCCTTTATGGAGTTACAGAAACTTAGAAAGTGTCGACCCTTTAGAGCTGGTCAGTCTTGTGTTCTTGTTATTGAAATGGTCACTGCTCTTTATTTTTTGGTGGGGGAGGTTCTGGGGAATTGAACTCAGGGTCACTGTATCAGTGAGTCCCCTCCTCAGCCCTATTTTGGATTTTGTTTCAAGACAGGGTCTCCCTGAGTTGTTAGGGCCTCATAGTTGCTGAGGCTGGCCTCCAACTGGCCATCCTCCTGCCTCAGCCTCCTGAGCTTGCTGGCATTGCGGGTGTGTGTCACCTCTCCTTCCTTAAATCCCAGGACTGACTTCTCCCAGCCACATTTACTCCTGCTGCGTGCACCTTCGACAGCCAAGGAAGAATAGTAAAGGACAGGGATTGGAGATCCGCCTGGACTCCAAGTTCCTAACTCTGGGGCGTCCTTCCTTAGATCCAAGCAGCTAATTACCTTCCCGGAAGCCCCATTCCGTTGCCCCAGGGAAGGTGAGGATGACAGCACCAATTCAAAGAGACTGCTAATTAGGTGCTTTTTCAAGTGGGAAGGGATTCCGGTCTCCCCACTGTGGAGAGGGAACAAAGAGAAGTTGAGCAAGGGGGGAAGACAGACCGCAGAGCTCCTCTCCAGCCTCTGAATTCAGGGGGACTTAGTCGGGAGTTTCAAAGACCATGAATTTGCAGATGAGCAGACATTTACCTGCCTTTCTAAAACCCAGTAGAAGCAATCTTGATCTTACCCACAGTGTGGAATTATTTGTCCCGTATCCAAGTTCGAGCAGAATTTTAGTGGCCTTACTCCCCCCCCCCCCCCCCCAAATCATTCCACTTCCAGAGTGTGCCCCCCAGGCCCTTGGCATGACTCGATGACCCTTTCATTAGTGGTGAATTTTTGGAGGAAGGACTCAGAAGGCGTATTAACGGAGGGCCCTGCACCCTCCGCCTGCAGGTCAGCCGGATTTGGGAACTAAAAGTGGAATTGCCTAGAACCATCTCCGCTGCTTCCAAGGAGGCTCATGGGGTGGCCATTCCTGATGGGCCCTCACACACCCAGCAGATTCTCAGATGCACAAGTGCTTGTCCTTAGCTGCTCTGTTTGCAGAGAATATTTGCTCATAGATACTCAGGAGCACTCATGCTGCATATTTCAACTACACAGAACTTTTTAAAAAATATTTATTTTTTAATTTTCGGTGGACACAGATCTTTATTTTGTTTCTACGTGGTGCTGAGGATTGACCGCAGTGCCTCTCGCATGCCAGGCCAGCGTGCTACCACTGAGCCACATCCCCAGCCCCCAGAGAACTTTTTAATGTTAACTTTTTAATTTGTCCTCTTTAGATATACAGGACAATAGAGTGATTTGGGGCTTTTTTGTTTGTTTTTTGTTTTTAGTACCTGAGATTGAACCCAGGGACACTTAATCCCTGAGCCCCATCCCCAGCCCTATTTTTGCATTTTATTTAGAGACAGGGTCTCCCTGAGTTGCTCAGGGCCTTGCTAAGTGGCTGAGGCTGGCCTTGAACTAAGGATCCTCCTGCCTCAGCCTCCTGAGTCACTGGGATGACAGATGTGCATGACCACACCCAGCCGGTAGAGTGTGTTTTAACATATTGTTCGTAGGTGGAGTCTAACTTATTCTAATTGGGATCCCACTCCCGTGGTTGGACCTGCTGTGGGGTGTCCCTAGTCATGTGTTCCTATATGAGATTTTAAATGATGCCCAATACCAGAGTGTCAGTTCTTACTAAATCGTACTTGTCTCTGAAACACTATCTAAAATTTATCTGAGGCCCAAGGTGTGATGGAGTTATATGAGGGTGGGGGTGGGGAGAGAGGAGCTTAGCTTAGTCCTCCAGTCCATCGCTAGGAAAGGATGCTGACTGTGGAGAGACGTGGTGAGTTGGAAAAGTGATGCCCATTCACTCCTCTGCCTCTCCCATTCCTGTTCCCTGCCTTCCCTTCCCTCCCCTGTGTCTTGTCCATGAACTGCTATTCTCCCTTCACCCCCTTGTGTGTGAGCATCTGCATATCTCAGAGGACACTCATCCTTTAGTTTGGGGGACTGGCTTATTAGCATGATCGTCTCTGGTTCCATCCATTTACCTGCACATGTCATCATTCTATCCTTCTTCATGGCTCAGTAATATTCCATCGACTATACAGAATCTTATAAGACAAAAAACATCTGTTTCCTTCCCGTCAGGAATCTCTGGAATTCAGGAATCCCTAGCTCCTCAGGAATTAAAGCCGAAGTCAAAGGACCCTTAGAACCTGGGAGAGTGTCATGGAGCACACGACCGAGGACAAGGACAGACAGCGGCACAGCCTGACCTTGCTGAGCAGGCTGAAGAGCATGCGCGACTCGGCCGAGATGGTGGACGTGGTGCTGGTGGCGGAAGAGGAGCGCTTCCCCTGCCACCGCGTGGTCCTGGCCGCCTTCAGCCCCTACTTCAAGGCCATGTTCTCCTGCGGGCTGCTCGAGTGCGCGCAGGGGGAGGTGGCCCTGCACGACGTCCCGGCCCAGGGCGTGGCCGCGGTGCTGGGCTACATGTACAGCGCCGCCCTGGACCTCAGCCCCGCCAACGTGCAGGCCGTGGCCACGGTGGCCCGCTTCCTGCAGGTGGAGGACCTGTTCGACGTCTGCCAGCGGTACATGGCGGAGCACATGGACGCCGCCAACTGCCTGGGCATCTACCACTTCGCCAGGCTGATGGGCGCCGAGGACCTGCACGACCGCTCCAGGAGGTTCCTGCACCAGCACTTCGCCGAGGTCAGCCTCCACGAGGAGATCCTGGAGGTCGACCTGCGCCAGCTCCTGGCCCTGGTGCAGTCGGACGAGCTCAACGTGACCCGGGAGGAGGGCATCCTGGACCTGGTCCTGCGCTGGGTCGGCCGGGACCAGGGCGCGCGCGCCCCGCACCTGGCCCAGCTCCTGCAGCAGGTGCGCCTGGAGCTGGTGGCCCCGGCCTTCCTGAGGGAGGCCCTGCGCAGGAACACCCTGCTCCTCAGCGACGCCGGCTGCATCGACCTCCTGCAGGGCGCCTTCAAGGCCCTCCGCGCGCCCCGCCAGCGCGCCCCGCCCCTGCGCTACGGCATGGAGACCACCAGCCTCCTGCTCTGCATCGGCAACAACGCCTCGGGCATCCGCTCGCGACACAGGAACTACGGGGACGCGAGTTTCTGTTACGACCCCGTGGCCAGGAAGACCTACTTCATCTCGTCTCCCAAATACGGGGAGGGCTTGGGGACCGTGTGCGCTGGCGTGGTCCTGGCAGACAACACCCTGATCGTGGCTGGGGAGGCCACACCCTCCAGGCTCTCGAGACAAAGGAGTAAGAACGTGGAAATCTACAGGTTTGTAGCAACAGTAGAAGGGAGTACGGCCAAGAGTGGTCACTTCTGTAGTCCCATGGAGCCTGTCGGGTGACCCTGAAAGTCTCCACAAACATTAGTATAAAAGGCACGGTGCAGTGGCCCACGCCTGTCATCCTAGCGGCTTGGGAGGCTGAGGCAGGAGGATCGCAAGGTGGAGGCCAGCCTCAGCAACTTAGTAAGGCCCTGAGCAATTCAGTGAGACCCTGACTCTGAATAAAATAGAGACTAGGGTTGGGGATGGGGCTCAGTGGTTGAGGGCCCCTAAGTTCAATCCCTGGTACCAAAAAATATATGTATAAGATTAGTATGCAGAACCCAGTTTTATGTGTACCTGTGTATAAGGCCATAACTCTGAATGTAGCATATATACAACATTCATTAGAAGTCATCCACATTATGAATCTATTTTCTCTTCCTTTAATTCCGAAAAACATGATTGAATCTAAGTCACCTGTATTTATGTTACAATTCACTTGTATTTTTCACTTAGCTTTCATGATTTATCCATATTGTGCATTATAATGAATTTTTTGTGGACCTTGATAGAACTTGAAACAATAAGAAAAGTTTATATCACAGACTTCTCTGAACTTTTTAAAAAACTACTCAGAGTAGTAAGTAATTTATTTTCCTAACCAGAAAGCTTTCGCTCTCTGTCCTTAATTTCTGCATCTTTTCTAAATACTCATGAAAGCATGTGGCTTTAAGAATGGTTTCCGGCAGGACATAGTGGCCCACGCCTGTCATCCCAGTGGCTTGGGAGGCTGAGGCAGGAGGATTGCAAGTTGGAGGCCAGCCTCAGCAACAGCGAGGCCCTGAGCAAGTCAGAGAGACCCTGTCTCTGAATAAAATGCTGGAGATGGGGCTCAGGGGTCGAAGGTCCCTCCTGAGTTCAATCCCTGGTACCCTCCCCCCCCCAAAAAAAAAAAAAGTTTTGTATTTGTAGCTGGGCATTTTTTCCTCCTCGTTTTCAATTCTCAACGTTGAAACAAAAATATGATCAGTAAGTCACTCAACAAACACGTGCTGTCCAACCTTCATAGGATCCATTCTGTTCTGAGCCTGTTATCTCACAGTGTCTCAAAAAACCACAGCCACCTTTCAGCTCTACGTGGGTATTCGCCCCGTTGGGCTTCATCAAGGAGCCCTACGGAGACCCGGGTCTCCCCTTCCTGTTCCAAACACCCACACAGTGGTGAAGGTGTCACCCTGGGATGCTCGGGAGTTTGGTTTCCTGCCCAGAGCGATACGGGTTTGATCGTCCCTGCAGTCCCTGGTGACAAGCCAGGCACACACCTCCAAGTGGCCTGTCCAGCCCCAGGCAGAGTGTTCCTGATGGGAAATGTGGGAGTCGCCCGGAAACAATGCCTCAGAGAAACTTCCAGGCCTGACTGTCAGGTGTCGCTGAAAAACTGCCCTCGGTACAGAACACACTTCTCCAGTTCTTCTTGTTCACGGAGGGAACCTGGCTTCTCGGTTCCGGGTTGTCCTGGGTGGTGCGTGTGTGGGGTTTTGATTCCGGGTACCTTCCTAGGTCTTCTGAGACTTTGGATTTCACATATTTTATCCACTGCTGCCCTAAGTACTTTGTCCTTCTCAGATCACGACTGGGAAAATGAGACGTCACCCTGAGTGGGACAAGGGGCGGACGTAAGCGCTCATGCTCGGTGACTGACAGATGTCAGCTCTCTAGAAGGCCCCGAGAGACCCCAAGCCCCTGTCCCCTGCGACTCTTCTTAGATCAATCTGACAATTCATACAAGAAGTCACCGTACCTAGTGGGCTAGACTGTCTGCCCAGCGCCCGGCCCACGTCCTCAGATGAGCTTTTACGCCGTCCTTTGACCCAGTTTGAAGCCTGTTAGAACTACAGTCCTTAAATTCTCTGTGTCCTACATCAGACAGCCTGTTAGAAATCCTGAGTTGGATATTTTCAGATTCTCTGCCTGAAAACCATGATTTTTTCATGTAATTTTTTCTTAGAAATTGAACCCGAGACAGGCTTAACCCCTGAGCCCCGTCCCCAGCCCTTTTTGATGTTTTATTTAGAGACAGGGTCTCCCTGAGTTGCTGAGGGCCTAAGTGGCTGAGGCTGGCCTCCACCTTGTGATCCTCCTGCCTCAGCCTCCAGAGCTGGTGCGTATACAGCTGTCTCGTGTTGATCTTCTTTCCTCTCCAGTTGGGAGAGCCAGACCTCACTGTGCTCAGTTGGAAACAGACGAGTATGTCCCTTGGGCCTTCTGTTTTCGAGTGGACGCTGATCCTTGGCTCCCTTTCTGCTGATTTCCAGGTACCATGACGGAGGGAACCAGTGTTGGGAGAAGCTGTCCTCCACCGAATTCCGGGAGCTCTATGCTCTGGGCAGCGTCCACAAGGACCTCTATGTCGTAGGAGGACAGATGAAAGTCAAAAACCAGTACCTCGTCACCAACTGTGTGGACAGGTACTCCGTCGAGCGCGACACCTGGAAGAGAGTGTCCCCCCTCCCGCTGCAGCTGGCCTGCCACACCGTGGTGACCGTGAAGGAGCAGCTCTATGTGATGGGGGGCTGGACCCCGCAGGTGAGAACGTTCTTTGGTTGTAGTTACTCATTAGTCCTCCTTAGCTCCCCGTGACAGCAGCGAGCATCCTGCCATGTCACCTACACGGGGTGTGGCTTCCCACTCCTGTGGCTGGGCCTGCTGCGGGGTGTCCCTGGTCGTGGGTTCCTATGTGAACATGGGAGTCATGTAGGAAATCTCTTGGATAACTAACTGGCATGGCTCCTCTGGGCCTGGCTCTGTTGAAGACGCCGTAGTCACTGGACACTAAGAGTGTCACACCTACATTTGATAAGATGCTCTCTCCGACGGGTGCAGGGGTGCAGGACTGGAGTCCCAGGGGCTCAGGAGGCTGAGGCAGGAGGATCGCAAGGTGGAGGCCAGCCTCAGCCGCTTTAGTGAGGCACTAACAACTCAGCAAGACCCTGTCTCTAAATAGAATACAAATAGGCCTGGGATGGGGCTCAGGGGTGCAGGGCCCCTGGGTTCAGTCCCCAGTGCCCAAAACATAAAATAAAAAAAACCAAACACAGTTTGCTTGGTTTGGATCCAGCCCCAAGACCACAGAAGGGGGGTTCCTGTGACATTGACGATGTCCTGCCACCCCGAGGCCCAGGCCTGGGCTCTGTGAGGGACCACAGACGCTCTGTCCCCCGGCTGCTGTTCCTGGCGGAGACCGCTGACTGGTCTTGCTCTCTGGCCTCGTGTTTCACGCAGATGGATCGCCCCGACGAGGAGCCTGATCGGTTGAGCAACAAGCTCCTGCAGTACGACCCCGGCCAGGATCGGTGGCGGGAGCGGGCGCCCATGCAGTACGCCAAGTACCGCTTCAGCGCGGCCGTCCTCAACGGGGAGATCTATGTGCTGGGTAAGCTCCTGGCCGACAGCGCGGCCATCTTTATTCTCCTGGCACTTTGGCTCAGTCAACATGAAATATTCTCCCTTGTCTGTCCCCTTCCAAATGTATCTGTGAGTCGCCAAACTTCATCTCAGTCAGGAAGACCAAGTGGCCGTCACTTCACCCGATCCACCAGATTTATAGAGATGTCGCCAATTGATTTCCTCTGAATCATATATTCTGGGGGGCCACGGGGTTGAACCCAGGGCACTACACCACTGAGCCATCTCCCCAGCCCCTTTGTATATTTTTTTATTAAGATGCAGGGTCTCGTGGCCGGGGCTGGGGCTCAGTGGTGGAGCCCTTGCCTGGTACATGGGAAGCACTGGGTTCAGCCCTCAGCACCTCATAAATAAATAAGATAAAAGTCCATTGAAAACTCAAAAAAGTAAAAGAAAAACAAAAAGGAGAGAGGGCCTCACTGAGTTGCTGAGGCTGGCCTCCAACTTGCGATCCTCCTGCCTCAGCCTCCCGAGCTGCTGGGGTTGCAGGTGGGCACCTCTGGGCTGGCCTTTTTTCTCATGTCCTGAACACGCGTGGTCTTGCGCACATCAGCACATCTCAGACCCACAGGGACAGGTAAGAGACCCGAGGGCCACAGACGGGGTCAGCCCAGTTCCAGCACGTTCTCCTGAGGCCCATTCTTCCCTCCTCCCCCCTTGTTTGTTGAGTTCTGCGCCCTGAGCACCTTCCTGCTCCCTAAGGTCACCCCGTCACCTCCCTCCTCCCTGCGTGTGGGAGACAGGAAGGACACCAGCTGCGCTGGTGCAGGGGGACTGTGCCCTTTGTTCTTTGGTCCCATCTGCAATGAGGGACAGTGGGCACACACCTGGGGAAGGGGACGGGTCGCAGCGGTGACAGGAGGAGACAGGAGTGGCAGGATGGGAACAGCACGCCTGTGAGCAGAAGTGAGACGTCTTCAGCTCAGGGGTGACGTCGTCCTTGTCTGCCGGTCCTGAAGGGAAGCAGGACTCGTGCCCGAGTGTTAATAAGGGTTTTATTTAAGGACAAGGCACGGTGCAGTGTGACTTGTGACGGCCTCAGTGACAGGGCTCACTCGAGTGAAGCTTTTCCTCTGGGTAGACATCCTGTGCTTTGTCAGCACCATGTGCCACGTCACAGGCCCAGAGGAGACGGCACCTGAGCTGAGAGACAGGGACCCAGCTCAGGGCCGGGAGCAGCTGACCCCGAGTCCTGGAGGAATGGCGTCAGCAGTGGCTCGGAGCTGGTTCAGACAGAAAGAAGCAAGAGCAGAGGAAGCAGATGAGCCCTCAGGGACCCAGAGTCGAGAGCACGAGTGTAGGTACAGGGAGCCAGGTGACAGGCTGTGAGTAAGGAATTAAGAAACTCAGCTGGGCACAGTGACACACACCTGTCATCCCAGCGGCTCTGGAGGCTGAGGCAGGAGGATCATAAGGTGGAGGCTAGCCTCAGCCACAGCGAGGCCCTGAGCAACTCAGGGAGACCCTGTCTCTAAATAAAATACAGAATGGGGCTGGGGACAGGGCTCCATGGTCAAGGGCCCCTGAGTTCAATCGCTAATACTCTCCCCACCCAAAACTGGAATGTCTGTCTGGGAGTTATTAAGGTTAATAACGGATGAACGATCCCTGCAGCCCAAGCACGCGGCCTCATAACTGCTGCTGTGGGCGACTTTATGCCGTAGGCACTTTGTTGAATTCTTTGCATAAACAGTTTCCTTTAATGGTCATAAAAATGGACCAAGTATTCACTCTCCTCTGTGTGGCTGGTAGATATCCAGGCCGAGTCTCCATGTGAGAATATCTAACAATGTTCCATGAAGCACTTTTTAAGCTTCTGAAATCTATGGTGCCAGTAAGCATTTAGCTAGCAAAAAGATAAGCGAGACCAAGAGACTTCCAGCTACAGAGTAAAAATGCCACCATTCTCTCCCCTGGAAGAGGATTTGGAAGGAGACACATTGTCAAAAAGAACCGTTTCAGATCTAGAAATCAGTCAGAAGTCGGGTGGGGTGGCGCACGTCTGTCGTCCCAGCAGCTCGGGAGGCTGAGGCAGGAGGATTGCAAGGTGGAGGCCAGCCTCAGACACTTAGCAAGGCCCTGAGCAACTCAGGGAGACCCTGTCTTTAAATATAATATTAAAAGGTTGGGGTTCCATGGTTAAGATCCTGGGTTCAATCCTTGGTACCCTCCAAAATTAATTAATTGATAAAAATGCCATCTCACTGAGGGACTGCAAGACACCAGAGCGTCTGTCACACCTCAAGTCTAGGGCTGGGCTGGGGCTCAGTGGCAGAGCGCTTGTCTAGCACGTGGGAGGCCCTGGGTCAGATCCTCAGCACCAGAGGAAAATAAACCTAAAAAGAGAAAGGTACTGTGTCCAACTCCAACTAACAATAAATGTTAACAACAAACAACCCTGCCAGTCTAAACTGCGGTGTCTCCCAGGGCACCAGAACTTCTGCAGGTGGGACACCTGGTTGGCAGGTGGGACATCTGGCTGGTGTCCCTGGGGTCCACTCTGAAGAGCCGCGTCCCTGTGTCAGGGTGTGTGAGAAGTCAACTTGCCCTATGTCTCCCATGTCTGAGAGCAGCAGGGAAACTTGACTTGACACAGGATCACTGAGGTGCAAGACTCGCACGTCCCTGAAAAGTGATGACCACCCACGCGGCCATGAGTGGGGCTCCACTGCGCCTCACACACCCGAGCCCCCCACAGCAGCCCTTTCCATCTGTAGGGTGGCGCACACTGCTGGTGCCCTGGGTGCCTATAACAGGAAATCAGTTCCCTTCCCTCTGGAGCCGTGTGTCTTTATCCCAGACCTCAAAAAGTCCCCACAGGTAACTTCCCAAGGAACAGAAAACATCCCGCAGCTAAAGGAACAAGCACGTTGAGCAAGAGCCCGTGGAATAACGTCTGATAGAAACAGAGAACCAGGAGGCCACGCGTACTGGAGCCATCCGACAAGTGGTGTCAAATAGCTGTATTCCTTTTAAAGAAATAAAAGATGGCCAAGTGTCACGAAGAAACAGAAAACCACACAGAGTGGTCAGTAGTATTTGGGACACTGGATGGAGTGGTGCAGCCTGTCACCCCAGCAGCTCTGGAGGCTGAGGCAGGAGGATCGCAAGGTGGAGGCCAGCCTCAGCCACTCAGCAAGACCCTGTCTCTAAATAAAATGTAAAAAGGGCTGGGGACGGGGCTCAGGGGTTAAGTGTCCTGGGTTCAGTCCCTGGTACTGAAAAAAGTGTGTGGGACGAGCCAGCTGGACCCACAGTGTGAAGGGTGCATAGTGATCAAAAGCCAGTGGGTAAGGAGAAAACTAGCAAATCAGGAGAGAGTCTTGAAGAAATTGTCCAGGATACAACACAGAGTGACGACGATCATACACTGTGCACACTCACTCACTCACGCACACACCACCTCCCTTCCCCGCCACCTCTCTCTCTCTGAATGGAAGAGAAGTTGGGGACGTGGGGGACAGAGGAGAAGACGGGTGACGTTCAGTCAAGTCCCGTAGAGGGAAGAGGCTGCTCTGCTTGGGGACTTCGACCCCCAGGGGTTCAGGTGCTGAAGGCTTGATCCCGAGGTGACAGTATCAGGAGGTGGCCGGGCCTTCAGAGGTGGGACAGTGGGAGGTCATCGGGTCACGGGGACTCTGCTCTCTGCAGGGGCAGTGACGTCCTGCAGCAGTGAGCCAGCCACAGCAGGGGACCCGGCTGTCCTCCTAGTGACGCGGAGGCCAACGCAGGAGGCCCGGTGTTTGAAGCCAGCCCGTGCCCCTGAAGAGAGGTCGTGCCTCCAACAGGAAGGGCCGGGTGTGGCTCTGGGACAGCAGCCCCGGCCAGGACAGGAAGAGGAAGAGAGGAAGGAGCCCAGTGCTGCCCCGCCCTGCCCTCTGCTCCCTCTTCCCCGTGTGACCCCTCCTGTGCCCTGCCACCTGTGATGTCACCCAGCACGAGTTCCCCAGGGGAGGCCTCCTCTTTCTGAAGCTCCGAGCCTTGTGTGTTGTGTCACAGCCACGGCGGACCCGAAAGGCCAGGGACAGCGTCTGAGGGACAATGGGGGGGGGTGTCCTGGAACTAGGGAAAGACGGACGGAGCCTCGTGCCAACACGGTGCCAGCCTGGCTGACCATCGAGAGCCGAGGGCACAGGGACCTGACGGAGGGACTGAGGGGCCCCAGAGGAACAGGGCCTTAACGCAGCTGGAGGAAAAGGAGCGACAGACTGACAGGTGGCCTCGCCCACCACAGAGATGGGACACAGACAGCAGGACAATCCGCTTGGTGTGCCACGGTGACAAGGACACAGCCTGTGAGATGGTCCTGCGAGAGCAATAGAGACGTCTCAGACAAACCAAGAGCATCACCACCCGAGGAGGTCCCCACCCAAGAAGCTTCAAGAATGTTCTTCAAGCAAAAATAAAAATAGACAGTGACCCAACAGGGAAGGGCCAGAGGCCAGGGGGTGAGAGGTGGCATGAAGAGCCACCCTGTAGTCACCACGTCCCCAGACGGGTGGACAGTCCTGGAGTGGCCTAACCCTGGGCTGATGGGACACCTGCCGGGGTCCTGGTCCTGGCATCAGAGACGGTCCCCACGAAGGGGAAAGGAAGAGCTGTGGTCTGTGCAGCTCCTGGCTGCTGCGGGTGGCTGTCCTGGGGCCCAGGAGGACGGCCACCGTCACCCCCAGAAAGCTCTGACCCAAATGGCAGGCACAGAGCTAACAAGTGTCCCAGCCTGCTCTGGGCTCAGGTGGAGGGAGACGTCACTGACGTGGCTGCGGGTCACACTTGGGCACGCACACTTGAGGGGCGCAGCAGAGGTCAGGCAGACATGGAGAAAGACAGAAAAGGATTTTGCAGCCTGTAGGCTTTGGGGGCCCAACCAGAGCGAATGGGCTTCTTTCTCAGACTCGTATTGTCAAGTGGAGTCTGTGTCCTGCTAACAGAATGCGGGTGACAATCTGTTTCACTGTCACGCGAGTTGTCCCATCTCTGACGTTTCCCACCCTCACTTGGAGCCTGAGGCCTTAGGAAACATGACCCGGCTTCTCTCTTTGGGGTTCTAACCACGGGGCCGTACCCCGTCCTCATTTTTTTGAGACACGGCCTCTAAGTGGCTGAGGCTGCTGTGAACTTGGGATCCTCCTGCCTCAGCCTCCTGTGCCCCTGGAGTCACAAGCCTGTGCACCGGCCCAGCCGTGTCACCCTGCTCTCTCCTTACTGCTTACTGACGGCTGGTGACTGTCCCCACTTCCTGTCGGCTTCTCCCAAGCCACTGCTTACGCGGTGGATTTAAGTTGGGAAATGGGCCCCGCTGGCCTTGACCTGATAAAATGCCACGAGAAACAGTCCTCGCCTTCCATTTGCCTCATGCAACTTTGAAAGAAACCTGTGACAGCAAGTTGACCATCAGTAAGCCATTAATTGGGGGGATACCGGAAATTGAGCCCAGGGGCGCTTAACCTGAGCCCCGTCCCCAGCCCTTTTTCTATTTTATTTAGAGACAGGGTCTCGCTGAGTTGCTGAGGCTGGCCTCCACCTTGCAATCCTCGTGCCTCAGCCTCCCAATTTGAATTGCCATCAGTCATAGGTTTAGCAAACACTTGAGAATCATCAAACATGAGACTTGAGCAACTTCAGGACCCGCTGGCTTCCTTACGAACATCCTAGAACCTGAAAAGGAGCAAGAAATAAGACTCGAGTCACAACTGCCTGCTCGCCACGTCACTTAGATACAGTCCCTGAGAATCAGCGTCAAAGCTGCTGCAGGGACCCTCGTGAACAGGTGCCCAGACCACAAACGTGACTCCTCCCTCCCCCCCCCCCCCCCGTGTGGTCGTCTAATCACTCTGGCACCAATTTATGAAATCAGTGTGACATCCTTCGTTTGCAGATGACAAAAAAGTGGACTGTTTTAGTCGGCTACTTTGCTGCTGTGACTCAAGGACCCTCCAACACCACTGCACAGGGGGACAGTGGACGTGGGGCCCAGGGTGTCCGAGGTCCCAGTCCACAGACGGCGGCTCCACTCCTGGGCGAGGGGAGGCAGGACATCATGGAGGAAGAGTGTGGGGAGGGAGCAGCTCCCACAGGGACCAGGGAGCAGGGACTCCACTCTCCAGGGACAAAGAGAGACCCCAAGCCATGGCCCCAGGGCCACCTCCTCCATCACACCCCACCTGCCTGCAGGGGACCCCAGGGAGCCATTCCCTGCTGGGGTTCAGGGCCTCACACCCCTCACTCCTTCTCTGGACCTTCCTGTGTCACCTCCCACGGGGGCTCTGGGGACACTCACAGCCACAGCAGGACATGACACAGGAACCAAATCGACCACCTTGCCCAGCCAGCAAGTGACAAGCCAAGAATATGGAGCGGGCTCCGTCTTCCCAGCAGCCCACGTGGTGTCACCAGGGCACGGGGACACACAGGCACCCCCAGGCTGGCCCGGCAGGCAGCTGGGGACCTGGTGACTATCACAAGATCTTCCTCCTGCTTTGGATCAGGCCCCGGGAGAGCAGAATGCGCCTGCCCCCTTGAGGCCACCTGCAGGCGAGGCACACAGGGCCAGCACCACCGTGTCCACGGGTCCTGTGCCCCCGCCAGCTCCCGCCAGGCTCCGTGGGCAGAGAAGGCGACGCCCAGGCCCCTCGGAGAGGGAAGAGTCCGTCCCAGGCCAACGCAGGAGGGAGCCTCCATCTCAAGGAAGGTGGGGCAGGGAGGAGTGTCCCCTCCCGTCCTGTTCTCCGTCCCCTGCAAAAACGCACAGTGATGACGACCCAGGGCTAGGGTTCTGATCTGCATCTGGGATGTGTTGGGAGGTGACTTGGAAAGAGTCTGTCCATTCGCCTGTTTTTGAATTAAACTCGGGCTCACAGGTTCTGGGCACATGAACTAGACATTTGGAGGTGTCGAGATCCCACTGACGTCCCACAGATGCGCCCGTGTCCCCCCCCCAGGAGGGCTCTCATAGGAGGTCTCCCCGGAGGCGGGTGTGGCTTATTAATAAAGATGGAGCCTCTGATTATTTATCTCATCAAGAGTCACCTTCAGTGTGCGCTCGGTATGTCTGCTGCCCTCGTGTCCTTGATGGTGACATCACACCCAGGGGGACACAGGGAGTAGGTCCCGCCTTTGTGGCCAGGAACAAAAAGGGGACACCCTGGAAGCCCACACACACACCACCCTTCAAGCAGAGCCCATGAACTGTCACCAGCCAGCAAGAAAGCACAGATCCAAGGGTTAGATTGTGGACCAAGGGACGAACGTCGTCATTGATACACTTTTTTTGGTGCCAGGGATTGAACCCAGGTGCCCTTGATCCCTGAGCCCTGTCCCCAGCCCTTTTTATATTTTTATTTAGAGACAGGGTCTCACTGAGTTGCTCAGGGCCTTACTTTGGCTGAGGCTGGCCTCCCACTTGCGATCCTCCTGCCTCAGCCTCCGTATCTGCTGGGATCACAGGCGTGTGCCACCACACCCAGATAAATACACTTTTGGTAACAGAGCAACAAAAATGACGTCATTTGTTATTTCCAAAAAATCCACAGGACAAGATAACGCCCCATGTTTTCTGTGTCTGGTGGGGACAGACACAGGGGCTCTGCTGTGAAGGTTCTGAGTTACATGGAGGATGTTGGTCTCTGTGGGCCTCCACCTGACCCCCCTGTGGCTCACCCTTGACCTTGCTGGTCCCTGACAAGGTCACGATGCAAAGCAGCGCAGAGCATCTCCATGGCCCTTACGGGATCGCACAGCTAAGTCCTGGTGACCCTCCCTGGGGGTGTCCAGCTGTGGCTGAAGCCTCGCCCTGGGCCCCTCACCCCACAAGGAAGAGATTCCGCTTTTGGTGAGGTTGAGAACCTTCTCGGTGCCTCCCTGAAAGTGGGCCCGGGGACAGCAGCTGTGTGGTCAGCTGAGGCCAGTGTCGCTCTCCTTGGACTCAGCCGCTCAGACTCCGCGTGGTCACTGGGCTGCACTGTCGATCCAGTCAGGTCATGCCCGGCAGCCAGCAGCCTTCTGGGCTCAGAGCCTCAGTCCCTGGATCCCCAATGAGACGGGACACAGGCCAGACGGTCAGCAAAGGGGAAAAGGACTCCTCTCCACAGCCGTCCCCGGCAGCTCTGGTGCCCAGGCTCAGCCCCGGTGGTGGGGAGAGCAGCCTTCACCTCCAGCTCCGTGAACTCGCTGAGTACTGGGCGGCAGAGCCACTGAGGGGCACACCTGTCATCCCAGCAGCTCAGGAGGCTGAGGCAGGAGGATCGCAAAGTGGAGGCCAGCCTCAGCCACTTAGCAAGGCCCTCAGCAACTCAGCGAGACCCTGTCTCTAAATACAAAATATAAAGGGCTGGGGACAGGGCTCAGGGGTTAAGGGCCCTGGGTTCTGTCCCTGGTATCAAAAAGAAAACAAGTGACATTGAATTTGGCCATGGGCACGTAGCAGACATCACTGCTGCTGTGACATGATCTTAGAAGCAGCACCAGGCGGGAAAGGGACGCACCACCGTCCTGGAGCCTGGGGGGCAGACCCCACCGGCCGAGGTGGCCGCCCACGTGGACCTGCCCTTCCTGACCAGCCGTTTCCTGGGTCGCTCTCTGCAGGGGGAATCGGCTGTGTGGGTCGAGACAAGGGCCAGGTTCGGAAGTGCCTGGACGTGGTGGAGATCTACAACCCCGACGGGGACTTCTGGAGGGAGGGCCCGCCCATGCCCAGTCCCCTGCTCTCCCTCCGGACCAACGCCAGCAGCGCAGGCGCCGTGGACGGCAAGCTGTACGTCTGCGGGGGATTCCACGGAGCAGGTACCGCCCCGTCACTCAGGTCCCCGCCCTGGAGCTGGTTCTGACCCTCAGTGTCCAGGTGACTGCCCAAGAGCAGGGCCACACTGGAAGAGTCAGGCTTCGGGAGCTCAGTGACCTTGAGCGAGTCCGTAGACCTGTGCGCTGGGCTCCACGTTTACCTAACGAGTATCCGCACCCCCAGGTGTGGGCCACCTTCAGTGGGTCCTGGCTTATCCTGTGGCCAGAACACGGCAGACACCAACCACACAGACCCCGAAGGGCAGCATTGAACCTGAAGGGGGGAGAAATCATAGGAGGGGGAGAGATTTTAATATAGGGAGAGCCAGGCCCGGAGGCTCACAACTGTCATCCCAGAGACATGGGAGGCTGAGGCAGGAGGATCGCAAGTCGGAGGCCAGCCTCAGCAATTTGGTGAGGCCCTGAGCAACTCAGCAAGATCCTGTCTCTAAATAAAAAATAAAAAGGGCTGGGGACGGGGCTCAGGGGGAGGGCACTCCTAGGTCCAGTCCCCAATACTGCCAAATAGACTAAGTGTGACCTCACTGACAGCCGCAGTGGCCAGCACAGACCTGTTGGAAACAGAGCTCCAAGCACTTCATGTTCTGAAAGAAAGACGTCCTGCCCAGGCCGACAGTGCAGAGCAGGGCCTCGTGCTAGGCCGACCTTGTTTAATAAGCAAATAATCATACACAACAGAGAATAATGGTCATAACGTCAGCATGAAGCACGAGAGACGCGTGAATCAAGTGCCATGATTGAGCTCCTCTGGTTCTTTGTTTTGTTTTTTTTTAATATTTCTAGTTCTAGACGGACACAATACCTTTATTTTGTTTATTGAGGTGTTTTTTTTTTTTTTTAAATCTTTATTTTATTCTCTATGTGGTGCTGAGAATCGAACCCAGTGCCTCAAGCCTCCTAGGTAAGTGCTCCACCTCTGAGCCACAAGCCCAGCCCTGACTGAGTTTTTTTACGTGGTTCTGGGGCTGAAACCCAGGGCCTCACACCTGTTAGACAAGTTCTCAACCCCTGAGCCCCAGCCCCAGCCCTTTTTATAATTTATTTAGAGACAGGGTCTCGCTAACTTGATGAGGGCTTCACTAAGTTGAAGAGGCTGGCCTCCAACTCACAATCCTCCTGCCTCAGCCTCCCGAGTCACTGGGATGACAGGCGTGGACCTCTGCACCCGGCTCTCTTTTTCTTTACTTGTTCTTCAAAGGACCAGGGCAGCAAGAAGCCGGGCAGAGCCGGGAGGCCTAACAGCCACAAGCCCTTCCGGGATACAAGGATCTGAGCTGTCCAGGGAGGGCGCCCTGCTGCCCAGCCCACTCGGCTGGCCTCTCCCTCCACTCTGGTCACCTCGATTCCTGTCCCTCCCCAGCCGTCCCACTTTCTCTTGACCAAAAAGAAGGCCGAGAATACAGGAGAGAGTGTCAGGCTGTCTGGAAGGATGGAGGCCATCAGTGTGGAGGGGCAGGAGGCTGTTCTGTTGGGCCTCAGTGACCTATTTTCTTCCCCCCACACTGAGGCGCAGTGGACAGCCCATGATAACCCGCCCCCGGAGCCGCTTCTCCTCTGTGCTAGCCCATAATGCCGCAGCCATATTGGTTATGAATAAGCCCCGAAGACCTTAGTAGGAGTTCATTCACCAGCCGTTACTCAGAACGCCAGGGACCCTGGATCCCAAGTGCTTTCCCACGTCCCTTCCTCCAATCTGGTGGGAAATGTGAAATCCTTAACTGACTGAATGCACGGCCAGAGAAAGTTGCGAGACAGCCTTTTATAATGATGCTTATGTGCTCAAGAGGATGGTCAGAGAACGTCCACGTCCCCTCCCCTGCAATGGACCACGTGACAGCCAGCGAAATGGGCAGGAGGATCCCAAGGTAGAGGCCAGCCTCCGCCACTTGCTGCTGTTTCACACCCTTCAATAGACCAGCGGCCTCCCCCACCGCCAAGGCATCGTCTGATGGTCAGGGACATTGTCCCTTTCATTAGCACAGTGGCTCCTTCACCACCAGCAAGACCAGGAAACATCCTCACCTGAGAACAAGCCACGTTCGCCTGGGGTAGGTGCCTCGCTCTACCATGTATTATTTCTCCTTTTACCCACTCGCTCCAAACAGGATGGAGTCTGAGAGACTTATCGACCATCCACAGTAAGATAGAAAGGAACGGAAGGAACCCACCACACACCAGGCACGGCGGCCCACGCCTGTCATCCCAGGGGCTCAGGAGGCTGAGGCAGGAGGATCGAAAGCTAGAGGCCAGCCTCAGCCACTTAGCCAGGCCCTGAGCCACTCAGTGTAGACCCTGACTCTAAATAAAATAGAAAAAGGGCTGGGGACCGGGCTCAGGGGTGGAGGGCCCCTGGGTTCACTCCCCAGGACCCAAGAAAAAGAAAAATACCAAACAGTAATTAAAGTGAATCAGGACGTAGAAGGAAGGAAAAATAAAAATTAAAAAAAATAAATGAACGAGACAGAGATAAGGCCAGAGCCCAGGTGGCCTCCAAGCTCCTGCACACTGGCTGTGGGTGTGGACGACCTGTTTCCCTGCCACCTCACCAGAGACCGGTGCACAGAGGAGGGCGTGTCCTGTGTCCCCAGTGTCCCCTGCTAGGACCCCACAGCTGGGCACCGTGTAACCAGGAGGAAATCTCTCCCTGGCCTCATGAGGACTGCTGAGAGTGTCCTCAGTAAAACCTTTTATTGACCAAAACAGCGAGTCAGCACCTCACCTAAGAGCCCATCAGGGGAAAGGGGTCCCCAGGGTCCAGGGACAGACACTCCTGTGTGGCACTCCCCTGGGCTCGCTGCGCTCAGTGACACCTTCTCCAAAACGAGGCTCACCAGCTTACTCCCCAGGTGGACCAGCAGCCTGAACACCCCGGCTCCGTCCCCAGGCAGCCGTCCCCGTGCCACCCCGGGGAGCTCCGTGACACCTCGTTGTTTTTTAACATCTATCTATATTTTAGCGGTAGGTTGACACGTTGCCTTTAGTGGTCTATGTTTTACGTGATGCTGAGGATCCAGCCCAGGGCCTCACCCGTGCCAGGCAGCGCCCACCTCGGAGCCCCCGCCCCAGCCTGGCCCTGAGCCCTCATCAGTGACCCCCAACACCACGCGGGTCCTTTACCCCATGATACACCGGGGCCGTCTTCATGGGGGATTGTTCCAGAACCGCCCTCACCAGGAAGCAGCCCAGGGGTCCTGAGGAGCTCTGGGATCCCGTGTGAGGGTTTGGGGGACACGGAGTGAGGGGGAAGAGCCGGCGAGTGGGTGGGGTCGAGGCTGCGGCCTGCCCTTGTCAGTGTGGTGACACGTTGAGAACCTGAGCCTCACGTGAGCAGGTCCCTGCAATGCCAACCCTGTCCCTTGCTTATGAGTCCCCAAGGGTAAGAGTGGATAGAAGTGCCCAGCAACTCAGGAGGCTGAGGCAGGAGGATCGCAAGTTAGAGGCCAGCCTCAGCCACTTAGCGAGGCCCTGTTACAGTTTAGGTACGAGGTGTCCCCAGAAGCCCCTGTGTGAGCGTGCAAGGAAGTTCCCAGGTGGAGTGAGTGGTCGTGAGCGTCTTCACTAATCAGCGCACTGTCCCTGTGACAGGGGTCACCTGGGCCCTGACTGTGGGCAGGCGGAGGGTGGCTGGAACAGGAGGGTCAGTGGGAGCAAGCCTTTGGGCTGCATATTTTGTCCCTGGTGAACACATTTCTGTTTCCTGGTGGCCATGTCCTGAGCTGTTGGTTCCTGTCCCCCACCCTTCTGCCATCATGTTCTGCCTCACTTTGGGCCCAGAGCCATGAGGTCAGCCATCTACGGATTGAGACCTCTGAAATCATGAGTACCAGGTAAATCTACGAGGCTCTTGTCATCTCCTTTGGTCACAGCAGGGAAAAGGCTAAGACACTGTCTCAAAACAAAAAACAAAGTCGGGCGCAGTGGTGCACACCTGGAATCCTAGCCCCTGGGGAGGCTGAGGCAGGAGGATCGCAAGTTGGAGGCCAGCCTCAACAACTCAGCAAGACCCTGTCTCAAAATAAAAAATAAAAGGGACCAGGGATTTGGCTCAGTGGGTAAGCACCCCTGGGCTCCATCCCCAGCACCCAAAAAAATTTTTTTAAAGAGAAAAGAAAACCTTCCTCAGTAAACACTCAGGTGAGCCAAAAGCCCACTGACTCCGGTGGTTGGAGCCCCAGCCTGGGGTCATCTGAAGGACACCTGGACGCCTTCTCTCACTACACAAACCCGAGGGGTCACTGCCAAAGAACAGAGCCCCGGCACAGCGACAGTGAGCTGGAGATGGAGGACATCTCCGCCGGCTCCCCCTCACCGTGGGTCAGGGCGGGAGAAGATCTCGTGTCTTCTCCCCGTCAGCGACGACAGCAGCCAGACAGGCCGCCCGGCTCCCAGGAACCCGGGAACCTGCAGCAAGATGATGATCCCACGCACTCACCTTCCCACTAAGGACACGGGGGAAACTCGGGACCCCACTGTGAACAGATCCTGGGTCAACATGCACGTCCAGCCTAAAGGGACAAACTGGAGAGATTTCAACCACACGATCACAGCAGCTCCGTCCACAGTGGCCAAGCCGTGAAGCCAGCCTTGGTGTCCATCAACAGATGGGTGGATACAGAAACTGTGGCACGTATACACCGTGGAATATTACTCAGTCATAAAAAAGAACGGCACAATGGCATTTGCCAGTAAATGGATGGAACTGTAGACCATATGTGAAGTGAAATAAGCCAGACTCAGAAGGTCCAGGGTCACATGTTCTCTCTCACGTGTGGAGGCCAAAGAGGAAGAAGGACAGATAGGTGGGGCCCGGGGAATCTCATAACAATCAAAGGGAGACCGAAAGAGGGAAGGGGCCAAGAACTAGGAGGGAAGGGGAGGCACTGGACAGTGACATTGGCCACATTATATTGTCACATTGTGTATTGTGAGCATGTAAGAATCATCTTGTACAGCCATAATGCACCAATAAAAAATGGGGAGGGGGAATTGGTACCCTTAGATACATAAGAAGACATTTAAAAGTGAAAATCAATCAACACCGCACCCATTTCCAGAAGACACAGGAAAGGAATTGTTTGGGGCTGGAGGGCACAGACTAGGGACTGAACCCAGGGGCGCTTAACCACTGAGCCCCATCCCCAGCCTTTTTTATTTTTAATTTTGAGACAGGGTCTCACTAAGTTTCTGAAGGTCTCACTAAATTGCTGAGGCTGGCCTCCAACTTGCGATCCTCCTGCCTCAGCCTCCTGAGCCCCTGGGCGTGCACCACCCCACACAGCCCAAAAGGAATTCTACATCCAACAAAAGAAACTCAGAAATGTCCAATATTTCAGCTTGGCCCAAATGATTCTGTCTGTAGCACTTTCAAATTCTCCAGTTTCAGCCCTGCTAGTGTATGCATTGGGATTTTTTTTTAATAAATCACATTAAGGGGCTGGGGTTGCGGCTCCGTGGTAGAGCGCTTGCCTAGCACGTGTGAGGCCCTGGGTTTGATCCACATAAAAATCAATAAAATAAAGGTCTTGTGTCCAACCAACTACAAACTAAAAAAAAAAAATTTTTTTTGAAAATATTTCTTAATAAATAAATAAATCACATTAAAAGATATAAAGCCCTCTCCCACTCCCGAAATCGAGAAATACATCAAGCTACTAATGAGGATCATTGCTAATCTGTTGGCCCTTCCCAAGTTGATTTATAAACCCAATTTGTGAATCCAGCCTAGGCCAGACCAGTTCTGCTTGGGGGTTGTGCGGGTTGGCTTCTGTCTTCACAAGTGTCACAAGATATTTATATATGGAGCATAACAAAGTAATATAATCAGGACTATTTCTGTGATCTGGCCATTCTTGTCTTCTCTGGGCCTCAAACCTATTTTTGTTTCCTGGAGTATGTAAAATAAATCCAAAAACCAGGCCACACCACCCATAAATACGGCAGCCTCCGTCTCTGACGGGTGCATGTTCTGATCTGCCCACCAGTGCCTAAGAGAACTCACGTGATTTCTGATCACCATCTGGCACCCGCTCCAGATTCACACTCCCCAGGGCCTCAACATCGTCCTTTCCATATTTTATTCAGACCCTGACACTGTCCCTCAGCCGCCATGAATCCTCAGGCCAGTTAATCAGCTTCCTTGGACCAACAAAATGGAGAAAATGATCAGTCTCTCTCAGATGACTGTTCAGAGAACTAACTGAGATACTACTGTTCAGAGAACTAACTGAGATACTACTGTCAGAGAACTAACTGAGATACTACTTTGGAAGCACTTCAGAGTGTCCAGTTACTCATCGTGGACATAAGAATAGAGTCACCTCCGCAGATGGGACTTCACTCCTCTCATCTTGTTGTATTATTGTGGTTTGGGTTTTTGAGACCAGGTCTCTATGTTGTCCAAGGGCCTCAGACTCCTGGGCTCAAGCGATCCTCCTGCCTCAGCCTCCCCAGGAGCTCAGACTACGGGTGGCCGCCACTGCACCCAGAACGTTCCTGTTTCAAATCAGTCATGTGGACCCAGTGTCATATCAGTTGGCAAACGAGGAAGAATGATGTAGGAGGTCTTGCAGTATCAAATAAAAATGGTGGATGTCCTTAGACCTGGATGCACACCGTGGAGGTGCCAGGGAGAGAAGAGACAAACCAGCCCCGAGTCCCAGAGCACTCCTGAACCCACTGGCCAGCAAAGCCCAAGTGTCACCTGTGTGTCCCCAACCTAGTGGACCCACACCTGCTGTTACCCCCTTGGTGCATTTTGGATCTGGAATGTCTCCCAGAGGCCCCTGTGCTGCTGCAGGCTTCTGTGATGCTCTTGGGAAATGGAGGAGTCTTCGGGAGGTGGGGCCTAGCGAGAGGCAGTTAGGTCATTGGGGGCGTGTCCCTGACAGCATCATTGGGACCCCTATTCCCCTTCTCTCTGCACCTCCTGCTGTCTCGAGGTGAGCAGCTTCCTCTGCCACTGGCTCCCACCATGATGAACCTGCCACCCCAGGCCCAAAGCTACAGGGCCCACCAACCAGGGCCTGAAATCTCTGCCACTGGGAGCCGAAAGAAACCTTTCCTCTTCATAAGCTATTTATCTCAGGTATTTTGTCAACAGTGACCGACAACCAATTGGCACATCTCTCCATCCCACTGAACTATGATTTCCATAGAAAAGTTGTCCCTGGGTATCCTCGGGGGGTTAGGTCCAGGACCCCCACAGAGACCTAGAATGTCACATGTTCAATTCCCTTCTGTAGAATGGCTAAGTATTTGCACAGAACCTAGGCACATCCTCCTGCATTCTTTAATGACTTGTAACACCTCAAGACAAGGTAGATGCTGTTAAATTGTGATACCAGCTGGGCACGGTGCTGCACACCTGGTATCGCGGAGGCTGAGGCAGGAGGATGGCAAGTTGGAGGCCAGCCTCAGCCACTTAGCGAGGTCCTGCCCCTGTCTCTAAATAAAATAGAAAAAAGGGCTGGGGACGGGGCTCAGTGGCTGAGCGCCCCTGGGTTTAATCCCTGAGACCAAAAACAAACAAAAATAGTGTTGCTCTTCCCTGTTTGGTTAATTTTTGGGTGGGCGCCATAACGTGGCCTTTCTTAGCTTCTGTGGCTCTAAGGACACTGTGTGTCCCCTCAGGGATCTTTACTCGGCTGTTACTTACTTTTTGGTGCTTCCTGCTTTGCGGGGAGATCCGTTTAGCGTGGCGATGATGACACCTAAACCCCTTGTCCCCGTGACACCTTGTCCCCCTGTTCTGCCGGCTTTCAGATCGCCACGAGGTCATCTCCAAGGAGATCCTGGAGCTGGACCCTTGGGAGAACCAGTGGAATGTGGTGGCCGTCAACGTCCTCATGCACGACAGCTATGACGTGTGCCTGGTGGCCAGGATGAACCCCCGGGACCTCATCCCGCCACCCTCGGACCTGGTGGAGGAAGATGGTGGGCATCGAGGCCCGTGAGGCTGCCGGGCCTCCGCCGGGCCTCCTGCAGAGCACTCCGCCCTCCGGCAGGCGGCAGCTAAGGGCAGCATGTTGTTGTGTGTTGCGCGCATAGTGACCTCTGTGCAGAGCAGCGTGTGCTGGGCACCGGGAGCCGGAGGAGAGGGTCTTCCCGCTGACAGGGTAGAGGTAGGAGGAGGAAGAAGAATGGTCCCACGGTGACGTCATGGGAAAGGCCGTGCAAAGGTCCTGAGGCAGGGAAGTCCACAAACAGTGCAGCCAGGAACAGCCCTGGCAAGAACGACGCTGCCCGCCAGCCGCCCCCTGGGCTCCAGTGTGGGGACATGGAATCGCCCGCTTCCGCCCACAGTGGAGCTCAATGAGTCACCCCTCGAATGTATTTTAGGGGTAACATTTTAAATGACACGGGAAGTCCTTCCGTGTTCCCAGAAGCCGGGCAGATGCGTCCGGGTAGCTGTTCCTCTGCGGCTCCTTCCGGTGCTGCCCAGGGCTCCTGGGTCAGTCGGTGACTTCCCTGGGGTGTTTCCGGCACAGGCTGTGACAGTCGGGACCGTCCTCCTGTGACCCCGCAGCTGCTGGCCCTGGCAGGAGAGGCAGCCCCGTAAAGGAGCCTGTTGGGAATCTGTTTGTGACCCCGGGAAAGGGGGACCCAGGAGGCTCAGTGTGGGCTGTCCCCAAGGAAGACCCTAGGAAGGCAGGGGCCAGGTCTGTCTCTTCAGGGTTGTCCCCAGAGTGTTGTCGTACCTGACACCTGGGTGGATCTCTGGGTAGCCAGAAAGGGACAGACTTCTAAGACACAGGGCTTGGTCTGTGAGTGGGTCTGTGACTCGAAATGAGCTCATTCTAGCCAGGCCGGTGGCCCACGCCTGTCATCCCAGCAGCTGGGGAGGCTGAGGCAGGAGGACCGCAAGGTGGAGGCCAGCCTCAACAACTAGTGAAGCCTTGAGCAACTCAGCCAGACCCTGTCTCTAAATAAAATATAAACAGGGGCTGGACGGGCTCAGGGGTTAAGTGTCCCTGGGTTCAATCCCTGGCGCCAAAAGAAACGTCCCTTCTGCTCCCGACTGGAGGTCACACTCTGCCACTTCCTTTTCTACTGTGAGGCCGCCTGCTCCTTTGGTCAGTCTGGGCTGAGGATCAGCTTCCGGGGGCGTCTACATCCCCAGGTTCCCTGTCTGGGAACCCCTGCTCTTATCCCCCCTGGAACATTCTGGAAGCCTCCCCCTTGTCCTGGGTCCGGGAGGCCTTGCTGGAGGATCCTTGGTGCAACAACTCTGCTCAGCACCTGCAGTGGACAGGGCTCCCCCGGGTGTCCTCCTCCTGCCCTGGAGGATGGAGGGGAAAGACCTAAGCTGTGCCCAGGAGCCGGCCTGGAGGGGGAGGCCGAGGCCGCACCGGGGCTCCGAGAAGCGCCAGAGCAGCAGACAGCCTGTCGCTGTGACGTCGTCGTCGTTATTATTATTATTTATTTATTTTTGGTCCCAGAGATTGAACCCAGGGGTGTGTAACCCCTGAGCCCCGTCCCCAGCCCTTTTGATATTTTATTTAGAGACAGGGTCTCGCTGAGTTGCTAAGTGACTGAGGCTGGCCTCCAGTTTGCAATCCTCCTGCCTCAGCCTCCTGAGCTGCTGGGGTGACAGGTGTGCGCCCCCCGCCCAGCGCGTTGTTATTATTTTAATGAGCATTTCCCCAAAGTGTACACAGCAGGACCTGATGGGCCAGGGGGTTTCTTAGGATTCCAGAAAGGGACCCGCATTAGAGATGGTCCTTGACTCCCCAGGGCCCGGTGCTTGGCCCCCGGGGCTGGTGAGCTGGGTTCCTCCTGTGGGAGAAGGCAGGGTGATGGCCAGTGGGCACTTTGGGGCAGCACAGGTGAGACTGCTGTCCCCAGCAAGGCCTCACCTGGGCAGCGTCACAATGGAACTTTCCAGAAAGTGCTGAGGGAAGACAGAGCAGGGTCAATGGCCCCCGCCTGGAGGTCAGAGGGCAGCTGCCCAAACTGGCCAGAGGCAGAATCTCCCAGCCTTGTCCCACGGAAGCCCTGACAAGACCCCGGGCCTCCTGGCTCCCCTCATCCCTGCTTGCTTGGCGCTTCCCTGAAGCCTGTCCTGCTTCTAGTCTGACTTCCATCCTGACATTAAAAAGCAACCTGCCCCCGCGCCCCTGCGCTCGGCATTGTCAGGGCTCAGCCTGGGCCCTTCTGTGGTCCCGACCCTGCAGGGCTCTTCTGAGACTCCTGCTCTTTGCTGGGCCTTGTCTTTGGGACACACAGTGGGGACGTCATCTGAATGCTGGGGCGAACCCAAGCCCTGCAGCTGCCACCAGGTCTGGGCCCACCCTCCGTGGTCAGGTGGCTTCAGTGAAGGCAAATGCTTCAACTGCAAACGTGCACAATAAATCTCTGCTGGTGACATGGACGCGGGCCTTTGGGCTTCACTGGGGCCCGAGTTTCATTTGAAGGAGGGCGAGGGGGGTGGGGGCAGCAGACTCCGCAGAGGTCTGAACCCAGACTTGGAGCCGTGGGCACTATGATTGGTAGGTGGGAGGCTGTGGCTCTCCTCCTGTAAATTAAAATTAGGTTCCACCTTAAAGGACACACCCCAATAACCTAACCTCCTCGCCCGGGTCCCGCCCCAATAACCTAACCTAACCTCACCCGGGTCCCGCCCCAATAACCTAACCTCCTCGCCCCAGGTCCCACCTCCTGAGGGTTCACTACCTCCCAGTGGCACCACAGGGCAGTGACAGAATCTTCAACGCCCAGGCCTCTGGGGACACTTAAGCTCCAAACCATGACACCACCATAAAGTCAAACCCTGAGTCAGATGATCCTGCTGCGTAAGAGAACGGCCCAGTTACCCTCAGCAGGGGGTGTTGCAGGGACAGACTGGGCCGGGCACCCAAGACAGCAGGGGACAGTTTTCCCTTGGCTGCAGCTTCTGCTGCCATCACTGGGTCCCCTGAACCCCGAGTTCAGGGAGTTTCAGATCATCACACCCAGCATGTGGGGGGGGGGGCTCAGAGGTCACATAAAGAGGTTTCCTCTCCCTGTCGTGGGCAGGTTGACCCCACAAGGCCAGCACCTGAGGGGGGGAGCCACTTCTCCCCTCTTTCCTCTCCTGCAGCTGTCACCAGGAGCCCAGGTGGTCACTTCTGTCATCTTAGGAACAGAGACGTGTCTGTGAGGCCCAGCTCAGGGCCAGAGGCCAGTTGGCACATTTATACAAACTACTACACTGGACACGTGTTTGTGAGAAGCTAGTCAGGGGGCGTCCAGCACCTGGGGTGCCCATTTCTTCCCGGCCAGTGGCCAATAAGACAGGGTGACACGACAACAGGAAGTTTACCCACCCTGAACTCTGTCGCTGACAGTCCTCAGATCAGCCCTGGTGAAGATTCTAGGACAAGGTCAGCTCAGACTTTCTGTGGAGGAGGAGGCCACTACAGGGGGACCAACTGTACAAGAAAATGGCCCAGAAAGTGGAGCTAAAAAGACATGAAAGCAGCTGGTTACTGTGGCCCGCGCCTGTCGTCCCCATTACTCGGGAGGCTGAGGCAGGAGGATCGAAAGTCGGAGGCCAGCCTCAGCCATGGTAAGGCCCTAAGCAGCTCAGGGAGACCCTGTCTCTAAATAAAATACAGAATAGGGCTGGGAGGGGGCTCTGGGGCTGACTGCCTGTGAGTTCAATCCAAAAAAAAAAGATAATTTGAGATAAATCATAAGAAAGGGGTGGTCAGAGGTCTGGAAGTTTCTTAGCATAATGGACTCTCCGGGCAGATGGGCCCAGGCCGACCAGGGCTCCCTGAGCTAACAAGGAGCCGCCCTGTGGTCAGAGGTCAGCTGCGTCAGGCCTGGGAGAGGCCCCCGGGCTCTGATCACGGCGGCTCCTGCTACTTGTTCAGAGACCCCCTGTGGCCAGGGAGGCCAAAGGTCCAAGAAGAAGAAGGACCGTCACTAATTGGCCACCAAGTGACTTCTGATCATTTGCTGTGTGACAAACCATCCGAGTCGGATGGAACTCCGTGTGGCGGGGGGGCCTCGGGCTGCTGCTCTCCTGGGCCTACTCCCGACATGACCAGGTCAGGTCCCTGTCACCCCTGGTCAGGGGGTGGGGACAGGAAACCTCCATCTGTCTGGGCCTGAGGAATGGCTTTACCCAGAAAGCCCTGCTCTCTGCCTAGATTTGTGTGTGTGTGTGTGTGTGTGTGTGTGCGCGCCAGGGATTGAACCCAGGGGTGCTTCACCCCTGAGCCCCGTCCCCAGCCCTTTTTCTATTTTATTTAGAGACAGGGTCTCACTGAGTTGTTGAGGCTGGCCTCCACCTTGCGGTCCTCCTGCCTCAGCCTCCCGAGCCTCTGGATGACAGGCGTGGCCACTGCACCTGGCTAGCAAGCTTTACGTGAACTCTGCCTAAAGCCGTCTCTGGCTCCCGTAAGCTGGCCCCAGTAGGTCACACCCACTTCCAGAACTTTCTTTGGCCTCTATGCAGGAATGAGGGGTGGATCCTCAGGGAGCCAGACCTGGCCCCAGAGCTCCAAGGCTGTTCCCACATGGAAGCTTCCAGGGTCTGGAACTGTCCTGCCCCTTCTCAGACACCAATAGCCCCAAGCCGGGCAGTGGAGGCCACCCTGGGGCACCCAGGAAGTGGGGCCCAGCTGTTACACTGGCTGCCCAGGTCTTCCTGTACCACTGACCCTGGAGCCCGTGCACTGCCCTTGCTCTGGGAGCCATGTCCTCTTCCATAAATGAGCAATAGTGATATCTCATCTGTACTAGGCAGCGTGTCGTGACTGTGACAAAACACCCGAGATAAACTACTTATAAAGAAGAAAACAATTTTTTGCTCCTAGTTTCAGATATTGAAGTCCTTGGTTGGTTGGCTCCATGCTTTGGGAGTCTGTGTGTTTTGGGGTTCTCCCATCAGGTCAGGGAGCAAACCTGCCGACCTCCTGGCTCCCAGGAAGCCAAGAGAGGCAGAAAGGGACCCAATCCCAT